ATATATATATATATATATATATGTATGTATGTATGTATGTATGTATGTATATATTTATATTAATGATTTTATTAATTAAGAAATTGAATTTGAAGAAATTTTCAATTGCAAAAAAGTAATAAATATTAAAGTAATTAATATTAATGTTAATAAAAAATAATCATTAAGTAATTTTTTCTAAAACCAAATAATTAATTATTATTAATTATGAACAACAAAAAAAATTATTATCTGTCCAACACAATCATAATTATTATTTTAATACATATTAGGTTATATAATTTCTTTTTATTTAATCATATATATGCAGATTCTTATTTTTCTTAAAAAATTTACATCAATCTTAAAAAGAGTTATTGATATGTATATAAAAAAATATATTTTATGATCCTTTTATCTTCTTTCTTGAATCAGATTTCTTTTAGTTATGTTAAATTGTATTTTTTTTTCAAAAGAAATTTACAATGCAAAGAAATACGTTAATTTTATTAACTTGTGATTTTATTTATATAAAACTCAATATTAACAACTACAAAAGACATTACAAATCATACAAGTATTAAATATCTTTGTTTATATTTTAATTTATTTATTCACACATTAATAAAGAATATAAGATGCTAGGTAAGTTTTTTTATTTATAAATATTATTACTAAATCAAATAATGTTAGTTTAGAATACTTGAGAATTTATAATTTACACATACATTATAAGTTTTTAATTTAGAATTTTATATGTATTACTTTATTTTATTAAGACTAACATAGTTAAGTGGTATTATATTTAAAACTAATATATTAATATATTTTTAATTTAAATATTTTACTTTTTAATCCGCGCATCACAAAAGTTCATATATAATATATTATAATTTCTATGATTAAGTCAATATATATATATATATATATATATATATAAAAGAAGGGATCCATTTACTTTAGAAGTAAGTCTATTAAATTTATTACTCCGTTCAATAACTCATGTTCTACATCTGTTCTTACCGGAAATCTGCTGTAGGGATGATCTGCCGAGTAAGATTGGTGAGCCTCCTTCGCTGGTACGTTGGTGTTCCAAGATGGGGGTGGTACCTGCAAAAGAGACTCCGATGCTACCGTTAGGATTTGTGTGAATATGAGTCTCGTATAAATAATGCACGTACCTTAGTGTGAGGTAGGGTTGCGTTGGGCCTTGGGCCTAAGATGAGATATGATATGATTAGATAACGGATCTCATCTGGAGAGAGATCCCCTGAGATCGGTTATGATCTACTTAAGTGCCGATCTGACGTCACGCGACGCGTGCCCGAGATCGTCTT